AATGGCCTGACATGGGAAAACATTACACTAAAGTTAAAAGAGGTCTATTGACATCTGCCCCCCCCCCCCGCCCCACCCCTAGACAGTCTATTGTCTAAGTAAATTGCTTCAACTCTCACTGCTATGAGCTCTAGACACCTACCACCAGACTTTACTTTTCAAGTAGTGTACTTCATCTTCTGCTTTTGCTTGTTGAATGTGTGAATATTTCTAAGGAAAAAGTTAAAGTATAAACATGAAAAAAAATGAAATTTTATTCAAATTCAAATCTTTTTTAGTTGTTGTTGTTGTCTGATAGGCTTACACACTTGTTAAACTTTAAACACAGAATCAAGCTGGTTAGACAAACACACAATCTTGGAAAAATAAAGCACAAACTTAGGCCCTGGCTACTATATAAGCAACAAGCACTACACAAATATAAAAAAGATTCAATTTTACCAACACCCYGAAACAACCTCTTGGCTAATCTAAGTCAGGGGATGGCATACAAACATACAGATCAAATTTGAATCAATTCCAAGCATTGTAAGTTTTGCAGAGAAAGGAAAATCAGAGAACCTGGAGAATCAAAGGAAGCCCTAGAACAACCCTTGAATCCTAAATGACTGACTAAATTTATTCTTCTCACACAGGCAAAGTCCAGCAATGGATTACCTGAGACCCCAGAGGGTATGGGCATATGCACTAGCTACCACACTATGCCTCCCTAGATTCTCGGCATCCATTGTTTCTCCTATGCATTGGTTCGCCTACTGAAGTTCGCCTACGTTTAAGTTTTGCCTACTGAAGTTCACCTACGTATTACACTGGCACTGATTCATAAGTAGAAGCATTAGWTGAAAAAAGAGGAAAACTTTAATGGTCAAAAAGGCAGACACATCTTTATCTTCAAGAAAGTTTATGAAAATCTCAAGGCAAACTAATCAACAGAAAAATCGCGAGTAGTAAATCAAGAACGCCAGAAAAGTGTTGAGTGACAACAAGAGTGTTACTAAGATTTCATCTGCTCTGCTTACCAAAGTCTTCATATATATGTTGTATATGTTTCAAGAAAGCTTACAGACAGACACATATACAACCCCACCCCCCACCCCACGGTTGGCTAAGTAACAGGTCAAATTATACCACAACAAAGTTACAAATGTACAAACACAGAATGGTATATTGAATACAAACAAGCAAAACATATGATATTGAGATTCCAACATACCTGAATATTCATAGAGATGCTGATAAGAAGATTTCCACCGATAGCCAACGCTGATCCAATGAAAATATTCTGAAAATATAATCAATATTATAATCAATAATCCAAAATAGCCATAAGCATTGTGCACATGGTGTCAGGGTCCAATTTAATGGGAAAATATTGTGAAAAAAAAATTATTTCAAACGTAAACAAGGCCCAAAAAGTAAGCAGTGCAATGTACAGTAGTATACATATATATTATCCAAATAGAACAAGGTTATTAAATAGAATGTTTGTTTAAGAAACGAAAGCTTTAGGAGTAAATCAAATGCATACTAACTATTGGCATCGCCGTAGCAATGATATTTTTTTCCTTTTTTAATTTTTTTGGATAATTTTKTTTTTGTTTTTACATTCAAACAACAGTGCTTGATAATAATACCAAAATGTATAGAAAAAAATAATTTCATAGTAGGCTTTGAACTCTCTTTAATTTCGTTTAATTTTAGAAAAGATTGCAGTTGTTTGCTAAGATTTCTCAAGAGAAGGTTGTTTGAATTCAATTTTGACATCAATACCCAAAGAAATTGCTTCTCAAATCGATCAAATGAAAAGACTTTTTTTTAAAAATTAAATTGTTCAAATTATAAAATTATTTTACTACTCTAGACCTAGATTTTCATCAAAAGAAAAATAATCAAATGATGAAAATAACCACATGAAATACAATATTGTTTTGTTTTGACAATTTTTTTTTTACATGGATATGATTTCTATCTAATTATCAAACCAAAACCATTTTTATCTCAAAAAAATAATCTCCAAACTTCATCAAAAAAAACTTATTTGTCGACAGTCTTAATCTTCAACCTTGGTAATAATTTTTTAGAAATTTGTTGATGAAATGGAATTTCTTGTTAATGAAATATCTTTGTTAATTATGATAGAAAGTTTTTTTTATAAATAAGCTTTTGGTAGGATTTTTATTGTTCCATAGTAGAAAACTAAAGATCAAAGGACGTCAGCTCATTAATTTTCAAAAAGACATTAACACTGGGATCCATTGAATGAAATCAATATTTAACGAGAATTTGAAAGAATAATTCTGGCTGTTAGGTACTCAAAACGTACACTTCTACGCTGTTTGTGTACAATCCATGACTCTTTAGAAAATACATCAAATGGTAGATCTTTTTCTTCCTTTGGCATGCGTCTAAAAGTTATTTCAAAGATTAAATGTCTTAGAATCAACATTGGAAACAATCGAAGAAAAAAATAAAAAATTGCTCAGAATTTTTGAGACAATACAACTTCACGCTTCAAGACTCGATCGTCTGGCGTTAGAATTCCGCTTTCAGAATATATTTTTAAAATCTGCTGTAGCATTATACCTTCAACTAAATCCCTAGTTTAGAAAATTATACTGGAAGATAAAATTATTGGATTGAAGTTTGGATCGAAATGAGATTTTGCCTGCGGGAAATTATTACAAACACAGTCGTAAAATTAACATAAACATTAAGAAATATCTCTCTTTTTGCAAGAATTTTGGTCAAATGTCAAAGTAAAAGATCAGCATGAATTCAGGCTTGGAAATGCCAGAAGAAAAGGTAATTTTTTATCGTGGATATAAGAGAGAAGGGACGTTGAGAGCTAAGGAACAACAGAGGAAACGCCACCCTGTCAGCTGGCGCCGAACAAAGCGTCTTCAAAATCCCTCCCTCTAATAAACGACAATATGAAAAATATATCRGCGAATTACACTTCCTCAGAAATGTTTTCAGCAAGGTTTTCCAGCGACAAAAGGAGATTTTCATCTTACCTTGGACGAAAGCTGGTTCTCCAACTCGTCCGACGCCATTTTTGTCTTCAAATTCAATCGAGTGTTCAGCACGTCTAAGGCATGGTTATCGTAGAATACTAAAGGTTTTCCAACAACAAAGCATCTTGCACCTGCCTTGACTATTACTCGATTCGCCCGTCGAAATAATTTATGAAAATGGTGTTTTTTCGAGGTTTTTTCGGAGTTGAACGAACACTACAGGCTGGTCAAACCATCGTATTTGCATATCAATAAAGATGGCGTCCAGTCTTGCACGGGCAGATGGTCTTTCTCATGGGGGAGGGGAGGGGCAAAATATTGGTCACAATTCCGTCCCCATCACCTAATCTTGCTTTGTAGCTCGTCAGAAATTCCAGGACCTGTTTTGAGGCCCAGTTTTTTAAGGGGTTTATAATGGAATGTATGGGCATGCAGCCATTGGCAACGTTACTGAGCTTTGACCATTGCTTGGTATTTGTTACTGAGGTCGGATTGAAATGAATTGGATAGCATTTGGATGGACTGGCTATGACTGGAATATTGCATTGGATGTGACCGGGTAGAGAATGGACTGTGACTGGAATGGATGGGGTGTGACTGCGATAGATTGACTGATGTGTCTGGGATAGACTGGATGTAAATGGAATGCATTGGATGTGACTGAGATGGATTGGATGTGACTCAGATTGATTCAGGGCCGTAGCCATCGTAACGGTCGGTCCTGTTTCAACCGGACCAACTTTCGAGATAAAGAATATAAGAAAAATATTTTAAAAAATTAAGAAAACCGAAAACCAGACCAATCAGAAATTTGTGGCAAACCGGTCTAACCAGAAATTTGTGGCTACGGCCCTGTGATTGGATGTCAATGGAAAGGGTTGGAATTATATGTAACTGGAATCAGTGATCGGAAGTGATTGGGATAAACTAGATGTTACTGGGTTTCACGATTTGATTGGATGTAAACATGGGATGGAGCTAATGCGACTGGGAAAGATTGRATTTGACTTGGATGGATTGCAATGGACTTTAAAGGCTTGATTGGAGGAGGCTTTCAAACTTTTGACGTCACTTTCATCTTTAAATGCCATTCAGGGTTTTCAGTACTGGATTCGGTTCACATCGTTACCATATTCATTTGACGACGCTTTATTAAGATTTTTCAGGCAGCGCTTTCAGATTGGTCACATCACTTTCAGATTGGTCACATCACTTTCAGATTGGTCACATCACTTTCAGATTGATGACATCACTTTCATATTGGTGACATGATTTTCAGATTGGTGACATAATTTTCAGATTGGTGACATCACTTTCAGATTGATAGCATCACTTTCAGATTGATGACATAACTTTCAGATTGGTGACATCACTTTCAGATTGGTSACATCACTTTCAGGTTGGTGACATCACTTTCAGATTGATGACATCAATTTTAGATTGGTGACATCATTTTCAAAATTCAGCCAGTGACATCGATTCAGTCAAACTCAGTTGTCGGACATAGTTTAGTTTTCCGAKTAGTTTAGATCTCATTCATATTTTTCACATTGCCTTCAGGATTTTGCAWAATCGGCGTCCCCTTCAGATCCAATTGCCGAACGCTTTCAGATTTAGTTGACATCAGTTTCCACATCACAATCAGAGTTTTGATATCGTTTTGATATTTTTGACATTGCTTTCAGATTAGTTGACATGGCTTTTTGATGAAATATCTCTTAAATTGAGAATCATGAAATCGCTTTCAGATTTTGAATCTTTAGATGGGCCTCAGTTCTTAACTCGACATTGTCCCACTGGTTCTTTTCTTACACGCTAAAGAAAGTTATTGGGAATGTATGGGCAGCACAACAGGATTTTCGCCAATTTTCCCCGCCTCAGCTTGATGTCGGTCCACCCTAAAACTATTTTTTTCATTGTTGACTGATTTCGATATAGCACCGCTTTGAACAAATTTGAACAAGTAATGTTGAGTTGAAAAAGCATGGCATCCGTGATACGTGTACAGTCATGGGTCACGCTCAGGTCCAATCACTAGCTAAATAAAATGCGATAGTAGTTATGTACAAAATGAGGAAAGGATATTGCAATTGTCAACTAATTGTTTTCTCAGCTTCCTCGTTCACCTGCCCAAACTGTTTTCAACGCATTTCTGAATTCTCTTTTTCTCAAAAGCCATACGACAGGACTGAAAGATGCCCTAATAAAAAGTATTGTTTCCGTCGATACGTAATAGTTCACCAGAGAACCGATTTTGATGTTGTTCACGACCTTATATAACTGGAGTACGAGATGTGGAGTAAAGAAAATGAAATATAGTCCTACAAAGTAGGCAAGATTAATAGCCCTTTTGATTTCTCGTAAAGCTGCTTGCCAACTTGTCAGCTCCGGTACTTGGAGATGAGGATTTGCTCGCCTAATATGAGATATTTGAGCTGAAATTTGTCTTCGATGTCGTTTCACGGTAGTCAAGATTCTTATGAGCGCCACCAAAGTAATGACAATACATACCGAACCAACGAAACTACTTGCACTGTTCATAGTGTTTTGGTCAACTACTTCAAGACCTAACAAGAGGGAAAAGAGGAAAATCGATAGCCATGCTGTTCCAGTAAAAATCCAAGTACGCTTGGTCGTGATGATGGAATTATATCGTAAGTGGAAGTGGAGAGCGAGAACCTTTTCCAAGCTTAAAGCAGCAATGAAAACGAATGCGCTTCCGGAACACATCAACATCGAAGGGACAAGTACGTTGTCGCTGATTGTTGAATAAAGACCGTTGCACTTCAGCCACAGGACTTTGGACAGAACAAATAGAGGTTGAGTAAGAACTCCTGTTAGTAAGTCTGCAAGCGAAAGACCGGCAATGAGGATATTCTCAGGAACATCTTGAAGTGAAGTTGTTCGGCAAATTATAAGAATGATTAAAGAATTCAGCAAAACTGCAATGGGAGAGAAAATTCCATTTATCACCATTGTCGTCATGGATGGTACTTTGTGTTCGTTGTAAGATATGCCGGTCGTAAAGCATGATTTGCTCGCGAAGAAAGAAGTGTTTCCTAATAAGATTTCAGAGATGTTAATATTGTTCATTTTCGTTTTGAACATGAAAATCCCAACAAAAAACCCAGGTTTTTACCAATTACGCCTTTTCGCAAGGAAAGCAAGTATATAAGATTAGAGGCATTCAGGCAGGTGTTGCWCCAAAGTGCAGGCACTGACGACGGAAGATTAATTTCATTGGTGTATCGAACTGGCTTCAATTTCTTCCTAATTGTTTTTTCCATTTTTCTTGGCTCGCTTGGCATGGCATGGTGTAATTGTAAGTTTGGGATTGGACTGACTGGCAGATTAAATAGTCTTTCTATAGGAACAGCATGGGATCAGTGCAAAGTGTAATGGGATTCTGATTAGTTTTTGATCACTGATTGTCGAGTATTCTAGCCTCGTCCCCAGGCTACTGTCTTCGCTGTTCGGCATGACGTCACGCATATCCGTCAGAGACGAGAATCTAGTGGTCTGTCGTCAATTAGTCTCCCCCACACAGCCGATTTCAGTGAGGAGAAAGCGTTGTGTGACGACACTCAAAGCGGCTGTGGGGGAGGCTAATGGTCAATACGTACACAATGTGAAGGGGGATGTTTTTCAACAGAATCAACGACTGAAAAACAGTTTTGTGAAGTAAAAAATAGACCGCGGAAGAGGATATTCCTTCCAGTTGYCCATCTTGTTCGAATCTAGGGAACATGGGTGAATTCATATTTTTGAATAATTTGGCCCATCCCTACATACAAAAACAAGCTTTTTCTTTGTTATCTGAGATGCAAGTCAAATACATTCGACTATCCCACCCCTCCCTGATAAATTTCTTAAATTTGTCGTCACTCGTTACGTAATCATAGTACGTAGGATAATACAGACCGGAGAAGAGACCGGTAGCTTTTGACAGAAAGATAAGAAATTTAAGATTTTCTCGAAAACAGACATTCACTTTTGAGCACACAGTTCTTAAAACATTACGTAGCTATCGAATTAAGATCAATCAAATTGCTCTTAGTTGATTTGGTAGCGTTCTTTCTACGGAAGTAAAATCTTCATGGAAAGAATTTTCGCTTGAGCTTATTTCAAATCCAACAGAAATTTCGTTCTCAAAAACATGAGTGGCAACCAAGAAAACGAAACAGAGACTAARTCCAGCAAGTGTAGCTGTTTGAGTAAGATAAGCAGCTTTATAACRAACTCTTTGGAGGGATTTTTCCATTGGTAAGTTTGAAAAAACTATAATCTTTATGCAGCGATTGAAACGACTCTGTGTGTACGCCATCATAACAAACCAAAGGTACTAGGYCGATTTTTCGTTTTATTTTCAATTTTTATATCCAACTTCCTTTTTCTTTCATTCATAAGTTTATATAAATTTAACGTTTCAGGCCTGTAGAATCTTCCTGTTAATGATATATATATATATATATATTTTGTTGTGGGACACGCATCTTAATTTTTTGACGTACTTATAATATAAGCTTGTTTCAAGACGTCGCTCAAATTTTTTCGTTCCCCAAAAGTGTAAACAGATCAAAAGATACAGGTTTTAAACTGTCCTTGGACAAATACAAGGTTTTAAAATAACAGATTTCTTGATTTGGCGTTATGTAAGTTATTTGTTATGTTGCTATGCAAGATAATAATTGAGAACGGTTTAAAATTTCTTTCAAATCATGCAAAGTGCAATTAGGAATATGCAAATTCCCGATATCTTTTAGCCTTGTACATGTGTTGATTAATTCGCTTCAAAATCTCTTTTGAATTTATTTTATTCGCATTCTGGGGAATGCTTTTATAAAGCTTTAATTCTATGCGAGAAAAGAGACTATAATATTTAATACTATCAAAATTTTATTGAATATTTATTATATTACRTAATATATTTTCATGCCCTTAGTAAATTTGTTACGTTTACTCAAGTGCTTCATATTTTTTAATAATATAACAGAGTATATATCACCCCAAGACATCAATTAATTACCTCCGTTCGATGAACTGATGAAAGCCTCTCATATTCAGTACTCAAGTGCTTTGTCAATATTCAGAAGCAGAACAACAAATTTACAAGTTTAGTTTCGGAAATGAAGGAGTGATAATATAATGACRTCATGTATAATCCTGATCCGACTTATTTAATTTGTTCTTGACATATATGTATCRAAAAAACAACAAACAGATGGCTTGGGGGTGTCAGGTGCAGGATTAACTTCCCACCTYGATCTGCTCCTGGATAAGTGCCTTTATTATATACATATACACTCAACAAAATTACTCAATTCTGATTGGACAACAGGAGTACAATAAAATCCCAAATTGTACTCCGTAGAGCCCCAATTAAATTACTTAATTTTGTTGAGTGTATCATAAACAAAATCACTCAATCTTCTCATATAATTCAGAATTTATAGATCGTACTTGTGATGTTTTGAAAGTTTCAAATTGGACATGCCTAAATTAAAGGCTCAACCAATTTTAAAAACATTTAAAACATTCCTCGCACCTATAAATTCCGAATTGTATTCAAGGTGGTGCGATTTCTTATACTAATCATGATCCTCTGGCTTGGGAGAATGAGCATTACCCCTGCATGTTTGACCTAAAATAAGTTTTAATTTTTTTTTGTCAGGCTTGGTGTAAAAGTTGGAAGACATCCATGGAAGACAATAATTATTGCTGTGATCTTGAGCGCAGCTTGCGGTGCTGGGATGCTAAAATTTGAGCAAGAAAACAGGGGTGATAGACTATGGGTTCCACAGGACTCACTGGCCAARAAACACCAAAACTGGGTTAACGAGAAGTTTCCTTCTTCAGCTCTTTTTTCTATTGTGATGTTAACAGCTCCAGATGTGCTTACTCCAGATGTATTTCAACAGGTAWAATCCATATGCAATGGGTAATTCTTTGCATACAGCCTATGGAGGAGCCAGGGGTATACTCCTGACTTATATATTAATTACTTTTAAGCTATTAAGATGATGAATATTCTATTTTTCKTAATGATAGTTTTTATTTTATTTTAAAGTTATGTTTCCTTTGCTTGCGTGTTACATTATACCCTGTATACCAGAGGGGCTTRTCCTTYGTAGGAGAGAGCGACAAGARAAYGAAAAAAMGAGTTGCTTCACTCCTWGCTCAAATACATGTACTAATGTYGCTTTGCTCCCCCAAAACAAKGAACTGAATTACAGTCAATTYGCCCACGGACCAATTCRCCCAYGCCAATTCSCCCACATATAAAATCATCAAGCTTGCGTTTGCCAACTCGCCAAGGTTAAAATCACTTTAAGAAATATCTAACCGTATATTAAGACTACATTAAAGTAGTACGTGATTTACCAAACTTATTACTTGACACTTAAGCTCAAGACTTCARGACTTCCATTTATGTAAAAAAACAACAACAACCGATTCAAGATGCAATATTTTGTAAAAAACCAACTAGGCGGCATATCATATCACTGGTTTAYAGGTACCGGTTTATAAGTTGTTTTGTGAATTATGGTGTATAAAAAGTTCGAATTTTGAAATCTTCAGAGCTTATGTGACAAGCAATAAGTTTGGTAAATCACGTACTACTTTAATGTAGTCTTAATATACGGTTAGATATTTCTTAAAGCTTATTTTAACGTTCGCGAGTTGGCAAAAGCATGTTCCATGATTTTATATGTGGGCGAATTGGTCCGTGGGCRAATTGACTTGTTACTCAAGGAACTTCTGGCACTGTCATTCCTCAAAAGCACGGCACCTCTGGCACCCAGGGTAGTAATGTCATTGTGACCATGTTGAAGATATTTAACAAAAGAATACTCATTAAGCATCATTTGCTAATGCCACCARCATAGCTGCCATGTCTTTGTCATTTAACACTCTTGGAAATAGTTAAATCCATCAATATATGGGATGTGAACTACAAGTAATTTAATGAGCTTCCTCTGATCTGTCTCACCCCAGTCATAGTAGAATTTAATTTAAAAACTATCTACATCTGTCAGGGTAAATTATTTACAGCCACCTGTCAACAGTGTTTTTATTATGAACCAATGACTATGAACATGTTAAACCTAAATTCCTGTCTACAACTAATTGCAAGAAGGTTGTCAGAATAGAACATTAGTAATTTARTGAGAAAGGAATACATTAAAAGACAAAAGAAAAAGTTCAGCTTCAGTGATCTTCTTTCGTTTTTTAATGTAATTCCTTTCCCACTAAATCACTAATGTTCTATTTTTGTATGACAACGTTCTTGCAAGTAGGTGTATACCACAGCCTTTTTACAATATTCTAATGCTCCTGTGTATAATTTTAGTATTAATTTGCTGTCTGTTAACATTTCCTCTTTTTCTTCTATTRCAACTTATCTGCAGGCTTTAGAAATTGATACACAGTTGAAACACATAAACAATGGAACTGCTAATGAGTTTGAAAACTTATGCTTCAAGTGAGTACATAAACTGGAAAAAGATATTTACCTATATATAGTTCAAATATTAACGGATTGAAACAAACAAAAACTGAACATTTATATCCAATAACTAACTTTTATGTTTCCTTTCAAGAAATGGTCCATTTTGTTCTGTTTCCAACATACTGGAGCTATGGTCATTCAATTCAACAGTCATCAAGAGTCTTACTAGAAATGATATCTTACAGAAGATCAATGAACCTAACTTGAGAAGGTAAGATTAGACTTAGTCTTAGATTAGTCTTTTCTTTAAGAGAAATTCCTCAAATAAAGGGATAGGCCAAGCAGACTTTTCTGACTCAAATTTGATACCAGTCCCAGAAACAAAAAACAAACCCCAGAAATGATACTGCGGCAAGTGTACTACCGCTATGCCAACTATGATCCAAACAGTTTAAGTATAACTTTAAAGAAAATTTAGGGTTTGGTCATGTTATAGAAAACRCTTTAAATTTCCAAGAAACTGGCAAAAATGAAATGCAGTGTTTCCTCTATTAAGCCTTCAGCCTCTAATAAGACCCCCTTATAATAAGTCTCCAGTCTGAGGTGCCAAAAACTGAATAACCCCCCACCCTCTAATGAGCCCCCATCCCCAAGCAACGTTGTGGTCCTTTTCGCTTGGCAGACCTTTGTCATTTTCTTTCACATGTTSAGATTAAAGATAATATGAGTTTCCGAAGATCAGGAAAATTGATTAAGTGCCCCCCTCCCCCTCCCAATTCTGATAAGGCACCATTCCAAAAGCACTATAAMGGAAAAAGCYCYGAGGTTGKTTAATARAGGAACATGCATTTTATCAAAAAAMTCGACATGAATCTTATTCATTTCCATTCATTTCATTTTTTCCCATATTTTCTTTCATCAAGCCCTGTGACTGGCCGAAAGATCGTCATAACGCAGTTTTTGGGAGAAGTTACACGTTCTTCTGTTGATRATAAGATAACTGCTGCCGGAGCCATTAAATCTACATATGGACTGAAGAAAGATAAGGAGGTAGAGTATGAATCATAATGTCATATAATTATATACTAAGTAGATAGCTTTGAATTTGCACCATGTTTTCCGGTCCAATTGTTCATGTAAACGGCTGTAATGAAAATTATAGAGCTTTTAGTTGTAACAAATTTSCGCTGTCTAACTGACCATAAAAATCGCTAAAATAAAGCAAAAMGATTTCCTTAATGATTTGAACTTCATTGAAACCAAGAGGAGCAGAGAAGGAGTGTGTAATTTGCGCCATTTTAATTCACACAGTTTTAACGAACAGATAAAGGTTTTCCTTTTTTTTTTCTCTTCAAGACTAGCTATACTAGACCAGTTACTTTCTTTTCGTATGTTGTTTGACGATTATCTTGTTTTCCGGAAAGGGGAAATCAGTGAAAAATTCTATAAAATTRTTAAAAAGAGAAATCGGAAAAATCTCCAAATGATAGGCAAAGTGAAATGCAAGGAAACGATGAAAACGTGTTTAATGTTTTACGGAAAGAAGAAACGCGATGGATAAAGGCTCAATTAACAGTAAGTGAGTAAGGCCCCTTCCACAGATTCGCCCGGACTAGTGTGGACGGTAGGCCTAACCGAATAAATATAAATTCGGATTCAAATTTATCCGGCATAGTGTGGACGGGGCCTAAGACGATGGAAATTTTTTAAAATGAAAAGTTGTTACTTTGCCCTTAACGTTCTGCATTTACGCAACTACTTGCCATTACATGTATTTTGAGAATTCTTTCTTCATTCTCCGGTAATGCTTGAACGGAAACGTATTTGGTATTTCGCCCAAAAAAATAGCTTGAGGAAAAGATGTCACTGATGAATAAATGTACAGAACAAAGGTCTTAAACCATTAACTACTTGTAGTCTAAGGAGAATGTTTTCTTTATTTTTCGGTAATGCGCAAAAGGAAACGTATTCTCAACAGTTTTAGAATGGGAAAACACTGCTTCAAATATCAGAGGTCTAGCTCTAGAGGAAAATGATGTATGCCGCCACAATGAATCTACAGCACAAAGGTCTTAAAACCAGGTCTCGAGTGAGTAGCGATTTATACCTTAACTGCAGCTTTTACTGAAACTCTCAAGTACAGTGCCAACAACATAACCGTGAAGCTTTAGTAATATTAAATAGCACAATTTCCTGAAAATTCCTTTGTTTTCTATTGTTTAACTAGCACTATTTTGTACTATTTAGTAATTAGTATTATTATTATTATTATTAGTAGTAGTAGTAGTAGTAGTAGTAGTAGTAGTATTTCACGGATTAAGAGAGAATTCTTTTCGTATTCAAGCGTTCTACTATTTTCTTGAAGAAAGGCTAAAATCTTGTTATTCAGAAAGTTTAACTTGTTTGGAAGTGGAGATGACCAATGAAAGTGGAATCAAAGTGTTGTAACCCAAAGCAAAAATTTGAATCGAAAATGAGGTTTAGGCCTTCATTTGCTTATTTCCCATACATTTTCTATAAAAAAGCCTGACAAAGCTATATTCTAATACAAATGCAACAAAACATCTTTGTACAATTGAAAATACCGCTCCAAACAAGTATTTTATCATATTATATCAGTTTCTAACTGTTAAAAAAAGGTTTTGAGTGTTAACCCAAAACGAAAATTGGGATCAAAACTCCTACGAAGGTCTAGTTTTTGGCGCTTTTTGCCATTATTGCCCGTTATTGAAAATAATTTCCTCTTAATTGTTTGCACTCTAAGTAGATGAAAATAGTTGTTTGGTGGTAAATGAGGATAACTGTAAAACAACGTCAATTAATGGTATTTCGTGCAGTAATATATAGACACGGAAATGGCTTCCATCTTCCGGCTTTTAACGTTTTGTGTTTTTGTATTGGGGAAATTCAAAAGAATTTAGAAAATTACTCTAATTAGATTGCATATACATAGAGTTTTCAATATATTTGTTAGATATGTATCTACATAGCTATAATAACTATTTTAATTATTTATATATTTATGTATTTATCTATACTTATTTTATATTACTTCTAACTTTNTGAAAACGTGTTTAATGTTTTACGGAAAGAAGAAACGCGATGGATAAAGGCTCAATTAACAGTAACATGAGTAAGGCCCCTTCCACAGATTCGCCCAGACTAGTGTGGACGGTAGGCCTAACCGAATAAATATAAATTCGGATTAAAATTTATCCGGCATAGTGTGGACGGGGCCTAAGACGATGAAATTTTTTTTAAATGAAAAGTTGTTACTTTTTTATTTTACTAAATCGCTTTTGTGAAAGAGCTTACCTCAGTAAAGATTGTCATCATCAAGTATTTTCAACGAAACAAAAAGAATTGAAGTTGGCTGACGTATGTGTCCCACGCAAGGAGTAACTGAAAAACCAAGTCCAATTAATTTCATTTCAAAAACACTCGAAAGTAAGCCTTGAAACAAGAACAATTAATAACCCTTCATTTTCCTTCCTGCTTTCATTTACTTTCCGTGCACGAAACGATTTAGACTCCTTCGCAGCCAAAACAATTGGACTATAACGAAAAATTCTGGCAGCTTCTTGAGAAATATAGGTTTTCTACGAATGGACTCAAGAACTTTTAGCAAATCTTTAACAGACGTGACATTTTCATTTCCTTCGGTGGAAGAAAAAAATGAAGCAAAAGTATTAAATAGAAAAGTATTCAATAAGCAGTTTAGGGATTGATAAARATTTGAATATAGTGTGCCTTTCGTACCTTTCTTAGTGTTATGAAGCAAAATTCTAGATTTCGACAACGAGCCATATGTCGGCTCATTTTTAGACAAATTCATAACTTTGTTCCTAAAATAATCGACAGATCATTTATTACCGGCTTAGAGCTAGTCAATGCACCATTAATATCTGATGGTTAATTGAATTTCAATAATATTTACCATTCTTAGCCACGACATATACCAACACGTCYGTGTTAATCGAAACTTAGGACCAACGTAGTGATATGGCATATGAAATATCGAGGTTTTTTCGTACCGCGCAATTMAACCAGCCTCAAATCGGGAAATGTGTGTGGGGCGGATACTTCCAAGATTTAGAAACGAAATGAGAAATTTGCTCCACTTAATAAATTAATAATTAAATAATTCCAATGCAAAACCWATTCAAAGGTTTGTAAGGCCCTGGCTAAACGAGGAAACATGTTTCCCGCGCGCATGTTCCCCGATGATTCCAAGTTTAGCCACATGCGAAACATTGCTACGTGCAACAAATTTTGCTTCCAAGACGAAAAATGTTTCTGCTGTGTGGCAGAAAGATTTCATGCTTCCAAGACGCATGGAATCAATGTTTCCCAATGTTTCCTCGTTTAGCCACGAAAGTCAACATTCTAAAAGTTCGTTACTTAGCAACGCTAGCTCTATCTTGAAAGTGCGCATGCGCTAACCGATATTGAGTAAACATGTTTCCCAATGTTTCCTGACAGTTTTGCCACGTGCCACGTTTGGAAACATTTAAGAAAACATAGTTCTGGAAGCATGTTTCCTCGTTTAGCCAGGGCCTAAAGGCCGAAAAACATTTTCA